ACATTGCAAGACACTCTGCCTCTAGTCTCTGAACCCAGGAGCCTGCAAAGGAAGCACTCGTCAGACTGAGGAAAGGGCATCCCCTCACCCCAAACCTGACCACACATGGCCTTCCGGCCTCACCACCACATCTGCTCACCTGCTTCCTCCCAGCTCATCGCTCCTCTCCTTACCTCCCTTTGCCCCCTCAGTCTGTCATCTCGCCTGAGACCACAAGCACCAGCAGGACCAGCAGCACCTGTGAGGCCTCCAAGGCCGTGTTGCCTTCTCCTTGTGCTGGGGTGTGCAGGGTGCAGTATAGAATGACTGCCCAGAGGCCTCAGCTCATCGAGGTGCAAGATCAGTAAAAGAAAGGTCTTGATTGCGGAAGTGTGAGGTTAGCAGGCTGTGTTTTGTGGGCAATGGGAGGGTGGAGGCCCCTGGGGGAACCCTAGTTGCTAGGAGCATCTCTCCCCTGCAGGGGCCTCAATCCTGCTCAGCCTGGGGGGCCCAGGCACAGTGGGTGCTGCTTGGTTCCCCCTGCCCATCCCCACCCCCACTCAAACATATACTTCCTCTCTCCTCTCCGTGCCCCTTCTTTTCCTACCCTTGGCTTTCCTCCCACCCTCACCACTCCAGAAAAAGGACAGGTTCAAGGCTTATTGGGGCTCAGGGGTCCTGACCAGCCATTAAGCCCCTCTCTCTAGGGCGAACAGAGACCTCACATCCTAAAGTGTGCATGGTTGAAATGATACGGGGCATGCCTACTCCCAGACTCTCACCACCCCTGAGAATGTATGACACAATAGTAAACACCAAAATACCATCTACCATATAAATTAATTGTGAATAGTCTCTTTAGTGGGTAAGTTTGTGAGCAGTAGGCAAGGTCTCTACATAGTATTAGATACAAATTACATTTTCCTTCCACTCTGTAATGAATGTTGACTGTGAAGTAAACATGAAATGATGGGGTTAAAGTTACTAATGATTTCGTGTGAATTGGACTGGGTTGGTTGTGGCCCCAGACATCTGGCAGAACTAAACATTGGGAACCCTAGAACCTCGCACCCCGTTTATCTCTCCATTGCGGGAATCACTGAGACACAACTGCAGGGCACTCCACGCTTCTCACTGGGCTTCACAGGCAACTGAAATGTTCTCACTTGCACACAATTACACATCCAATATAGTGGGTTTTCAATTTGGACAGTGCACTTCGGATAATTTTTTGCAAGTTGATAGGGTGAATATTAGAGTACCAAAAATAGTAAAAAAAAAAAACAAACAAAACAAAACAAAAAACAAACAAAAAAACAAAAACAAAAACAAACTTCTCCTCTCTACCCCACCGGCAGTAAAAGAACCTTGAATTTATCTTTGTAGCAATATGTCCCCACTACCACTATTAAAAGCTATACTTTCAGCTTCCCTTGAAATGAAGGTCATGTGACTAAAATCCGACAATGATTTATAATAGAAGTGTCGACTGTGCTTCCATAAAACCCCATGAAATTATTACTGGTACAATCTCTTTTCTCTCGTTTTCTCCATACTGCTATCCAGCATGGACATGTGATGACTGGAGCCCTGGCAGCCTTAGTGAGCTATCTGGTAACCTTGGGAATGGCTGCCCTGCATACTGGAGCAATAGAATAAAGGATTCTGGGTCCCTGGTATTCTGGAGCTAACTTGCTAGCCTTAGATTCCTTATCTCTGAACTTTTTTTGAGAGAGAAATAAACTATGTAGTTTAGCCTATATTTTTTTTATTCTTTCTTATTCCCAAGTGAATGTAGGACTAAGTGATAAAACCGATATATCGTTTTAGTCAGCTATTGCTACAATAATGCTCATGTATCTGTGGCTCGGTTGAGGGTCAGCTGGTGTCGGCTGGGGTTAGCTGTCCTTGGCTCAAAGTGGCAGGTAAGATTAAGAA